GATATTACCAGCACATTTTTGCTACATTTCTTTGGCAAAGTAAGGCCACAGCAGGACATGCCAGACAATACAGATTCTGTGTTTCTTTCAGTATTTTACATTTAATAAAGCCTGCATGCTATTAGACATCAAAGAATAAGAAGAGATATCTTCAATATGCATTGAAATCTGTATTAGCAATACATAGCCTCCCTAAAAAATTGAAAATCTGTTTTTAAGGATTTAAAAATAATTTAAGGAGTTGCATCAGAAGTGAACTATATTTTGTATGGAATCTAGTCACAGTAAAGAATTCAAGACCCAAACTGAGGTCTGCCCAACAAAGGAAATACATATGGGTCTTCCCTGAGCTGATACATCATTATGCAGACCCTTATTCCAGTAACACAATCCAACTGTTTCTAAAATTCATTTTTACTCTGTTACTTGTAAAATTTCTGAATAAATTTACTAAAAATAATGTGCTATTTAACTTGAGATTCCATCTTTAAACACATGGAAAAGAAGAGATGATCAAGAGTGTTGCCACAGACAACAAAATCACAGACTGTTGTGATATAAGCATAGATATACTATGCCATGGATGCCATGAACTACTGATATATAGCCATAAATATAATATTCCATGGATATAACTATGGATACAATGTTACTCCAACCATATTATTATATTTAATATTAGCAATGTCTATCTTAAGATGCCATCCTACACTCCAAATGGATAAGAATATTTCTAGCAACAGCAAGTTGAATACCAGTAAACTGTCAAAGAAATACTGCTCTACTTCCATAAAGAAATTAGTAGACATAACTTCCATGAAAATTAATGAGTTGTTGGTTGCTCTGATTTTTCATTTCAGCTATTGAAATCAACAGTTACTGAGGACAAGCTTTTTCGAAAGAAGCAAATATATTTCAGTGAGAATTGGGCATCAAAATCTCCCACTTAGCTTAAAAAACAGAAATTTTAAAATCTGAAATTCTTACGGCATCACATTTCTTAAAGTTTCAGACACAACATACTTCCCAGAAATGCACCAATGGTTGTACATGGAAATTGATTTTCTCTGCATGTGTGTGGCTAGTTAGCTCTAAAGGTCTTCACAAATACATTTGATCACGAAATCACACAGTAAAATCTTTAAAGATTGTAGGTAGATTGCAGCATTTGTTAATCAGTTTTGCAGTTTAATGTGTCTAAATATTGTTGCCTGTCTGTCTGATTAGAAAGCAAGAATTTTGATAGACTTCTGCTCAGTAAAAATAGAAACAGCTGATGTTTATGATTTTTGCAGAAGACCTTAATTAATACAGAAAATCATTTGATTGTGAACAGAAAGAAATAAAACAGAGCTTAGCCTTAACAAATTATAGTCTTATAACACTGCCACAAGTATAGAGGAACATGAAATGAAAACCTTCCTATTAGTACACAGGTAGTACACAGGGAAATATAACCAGGACTGATTAAAAAAACGTTTTCAAAACCCTGTCTTATGCTGATGTTATTTCCTATTAGCAAAGTAACCAACTCAAAAACTCTATCATAACAATTCTGTCAGACAGCAAGACATAGCTGGAAGGTTTGCTAGTTTTTGAGATGCTGGAAGATACTACAAGAACTTAGCTGTCTATACATGACACACGGCAACCTGTATTATGTTGTCCTGCTTGAGCAGCAGAGTTGGACCAAACTTTGTGAATTTGTTCTGCATATTCAGTTGAACTGTCCATACGACACTGTTCATGATCTAGCAATCAGTTTCTTGTCCAGCAAACAGTCCACTGTTCAATGTTTTGCTGCATTAGTTTTCTTATTTACGAAATAAGAAAACTGAGCTGCATTGCTTACCATAGCAGGTGTAGCCAAAACCAAGGTATTTTGAGAGTAAAAGTGTAGTACAAGCACTGAAGCTCAAATATGTGGACAGAATTGCCAGCTCTTTATATTTAGAGGAGTAAAATGCCCCAAACAATGGCTTGTTCAACTAGTTATTAATACTATCAGAACAGGCCAACTTCAGCAAAACTAAGTGATTCCCACTTGTGTAGCAGTATGGAAGTCCTGAAGTTCCTGTGTCCAAAGCATTTTACTTCAAATGAAACACTAATGTCTAAGAACTCTACATTGGATGTCTCCTTGTTAAAACTTGGCTCCTGCAGAGACCCTCCTCTAGTGAAATTATGTTGTGATCAAAGCAAAACAGAGGAAATGAGATTATAAAAGTCACCCCTATATTTCCAGCCCATGTTGAAGTGACATGTAAAATACTAGCAAGTAATGGAGCCCGAAAAAGATTTTTGCAGCAATGTTTATATATAAGCTTATATGAAGAACAAAGATTTTACCATTTTCTGTCGAGAGCCCTTACTGTTCCCAGTCTTTCATGACAACTCTTGTAGTTTGAAGCCGTAAATTAGCATAGGTGTTAATAAAGAAGGAGCAGCACAATTTAGGAATTCGAAGAGAGTTGCACAGGAAGCTCTATTAAATATTTATGTAGCAAAAACAAAGGAGGGAAATGCTACACTTCTTTACACCCCTCATCTAACTAAAACAGAATACAGCGGTAGCAATAAAATGCTGTTGCTTGAAAACAGGAGATCTAAGGGACAAACCTCTTGGAAAAATTCAACTCTGTAAGGGCAGTTCGCATGTGAGAACAACATTTAAGATCAGAACCATGTGCAAGATTTCTTCTGTAAGTTGCCTATTTCTTAGTATGGCTCTTGTCACTCCTCCCAAAAATTCTTCAGAAATTTAATTAAGGAATATAATTGCTGGGAACGTTAGAAGAAGGACAGATGATGGAGATTGGTTTTTTTTTTTTTTTTTTTTTTTTTTTTTTTAATTTCTGGTTGCTTTTCAGATGCCATGGCAATAGTGATCCAATATATGTGAAGATTAGATCAGGCAGAATGTGAAGTTGGAAGTGATTTTATCTGTATCCTAGCATTTGCGTCTAAGAAAATTTCAGCAAACAAAGCCTGGTATTATTCTGTTCCAACTGCCTAGATGCTTTAAAACTGTGGCATGTTTTATGTTTTTCTGAGTAGAAAAGAGCAGCAGCAGACTATTCCATAAAAATTAACGTCCTGAGAGCCAAATGTGAGTGTTATTGGGAAACCAGAATGTGGAACAAGATTTCCCAGTCATCAACTATGTCTTATGAAAAGTTCAAATAAATAAAAAAATAAACAGAATGAAGTAGAATAAAGCAGAGAAAGGGTGCTATTCAGTACCTCCTGTGCTGCCTGATGGGAATTCAGAAATAAATGACTTGTGTATGTTTTCTTTTTATTTAATCTGGTCAGTATTTGTTTTTTTTTTCTCTGTTCTCATAATCACTACTGTTTTATTGGAAGCTGTGCTTTTAAAAAGCCATAATTTTTTTAAATTGTGGCAATTATCAGAAAATAATTAAGAAAGTGCTAAGAAATCCCTCTTCTTTCACTTCGAACAGCTCCTACAGGAATATTCCAGATCAACTCTGAGGGGTTGTGGTAAGCAAATTTCAAGGAAGATACAAGCAAGTTTAGAAAAGTCACCTGCTGAGAATAATACTGGCATAATTTTTAACAATTTAATACTTTTAGAGCTGTATGCTCAAGTTTGTACAAATATTTTCTCCCTACATTTACACTCTTTGTTGGGTAGTAAAGAACTTGCTGGATATTCAGGTCCAGAGAGTGGTGGCAAATGGAATCACATTCAGCTGGTGGTTGATCACAATTGGTGCTCCTCAGGGGTCAGTAATGGGCCCTGTCCTGTTCAGTGCCTTTACTGATGACCTAGATGACCAGGGGAGATTCAGGTTGGACATTAGGAAATAATTCTTCTCTGAGAAGAGTGGTCAGGTGTTGGAACAGGCTGCCCTGGGAGGTGGTGGAGTCACTGTCCCTGGAGGTGTTGAAGAAACGCTTAGATGTTGCCCTGAGGGATAAAGATTAGTGGAAAATATTGGTGATAGGTGGATGGTTGGACTGGATGATGTTGGAGGTCTTTTCCAACCTTGGAGATTCTATGATTCTACAAATCTCAAACTATGAACAGATTGAAGAGAAACTGGTAGCATAAAGGGAAACTAATATAGGTGGGACAGTGAGATACAAGGTTAAAATTTGAACATGAAGATTGCTTCTATTCAGCATGCTCTCTGTATGTCAGATCAGATGAGTTCCAGCTTTCCGCAGAATGAAGTACTCTCAGGAAATACTTCAGTAAGGGTCAAACAAAATCTTCATAATATGAAAATGAAATGGGGATTTGTAGATCTCACTCTGAACATTTCAATTCCTTCAGCTTTCTTGGATTCCATCTTGGGAACAATTTGACTTTGACTTTGGGCTAGTCAGTCACTCACATGCTCTTGCAATCATTTGCAAGAATCATTTTAGACTTGCTTATAACTGTATACCTAATGGGAGGTTTGAGTTTACGATCAGAAGTATTCATTTCAAACAAATGGCAGGAACCACACCAACAAAAGACTTGTGTGCTTTGGAGCGCTTGTACTGTAGTTTAATGTTTGTTAGAACAAAACTACAAAATGAAATGTCAAATCCTAATGGAACCAACATAATCTTTGTGTTCAGATACACCTGAGTTAGTTCGTTTAAGATGCAAAGATTTAACGGTCCCATAACTCTCTGGTAAGACCAGGGAGTTTTGCAGTGCCTCCTAACACTGGTGGTATTTTATTCAACTCCCAACTGATTGATTTTTGAGATGGCATTTGTAGTTATTTGTAGATAAAAATGAGAAGATAACATTTCAAAAAATACTGCAGGATATTCCTTAACTATGATTTACCTGTTTTAAATCAAGAGATAAACTTTTTACTTTCCTTTTGTCCCCCCTCTGCTTGAAAAGGGAACAACAATATTATGCTAACTGAATAAGATCAGAAATGTCTTAGTGTATTCTATTAAAGCAGAAATTACCACATTCAATCATTTATGAAGAAGTAAATACTAAATGTAAATTATCTGACACCTACCTGTTCCTTGAGAATCCAATCTCTTACAACGTAGTAGGACGCTATATATGTCTCAGCTTATTGCCAGTTATCCGCATTGGAAGCCAGGTCAGGACTGCTTCTCTTATGTAGCAATTTTGTCTCTGATTTTAGGCACACAGAAGTATTTCAAAGATTTCTTGCAAATTTTCAGCTTATTTCCTGCAGACTCAGTACTTCTGTTTAGCTACAGAAAGGCATCAACACTTCATGAGTCTTATTTCAAACAAGATTTTCTAAGTACAAGAACAACAGTTATGCCCACATTAAATTTTAAGAAACATCAGGTCAATAAAAGAAAGTTTTGATTAAAATGTACTCATGATTTATTCAGATTTGTGTATCTGACCTTTCCTCTCATTCCAGAAACTTCTGTTGAATTAAAATGAAATCCTGGCAGCATGGAAATCATACAGAGATTTGCTATGCATTTTAGTGACACCATATTTCACTCAGCCTTTTTATAGCTTAGCTCGCATAACAGCTATTTATATGCTCTCTATCAGGAGGTGTCTTTGTGTGTTGTGGACTGCTCTTCTGCTCAACAGTGTTCTTTGGATGAGTATATACGTCTGCTGATCCCTCAAGCCACCCATACTACGTCAAGACAGATAAAGATGACAAAGTAGTGTTCAGTCCCATACTTAATGGCTTAATTTGTGTATTACTTTGGAACTGTAGAATGAAGCATCAACTATTTTCCAATCTGAGAAATCTCTTATTGTTTGATTTTATAAAATGGAAAATTCCCACACAGAAAACAGAACGAGGTAATATTCACAAAATGATTTTTCTGACTCATTAATATAGGTTACTACAACACAGCCAATTATTCCATGTTCTGTATAGAAAAAATATTTCATTCGTATAATGATATTTCTGTAATTGTGTTATGTTTATTTTTTTCCTTAGATACCTTCTTGGATACCAATCCCACATTAATTATTCAGGCAGGGTCAAATAAAAAGAAAACGGGACACAGGCTGAAGTGCAAGATGGGAATTCTTGTTTTCCATCATCTGCAGTTCTTTACAGTTCTGCTTCTGTTGCATGATATGTAGACATAGTCATTATTATTTCAGCAGCCATATGATCCAAGAGAAGTGCAGAAGGGAACATTATGTGTTCAGAAGTGAAATGCTGAGTTATCATATTGTGAATTTGTTTCTTGTAGAACACCCACACACATTAAGCACAGAAAAAAAATATTTTCTGTTATGAATAAACATCTGCAAGATTGCACAATTCAAGATTGCATGGATTTTGTTACATGAACAATAAACTAGTGGAATAACTCTGAAATCTATGAAGCATCTTAAAATAGAAAACTTAATTACTATTTGCATGATGATTCCTTCTGTAAAGCATGAGATAAGCAAGTTGAGGAGAACTAGCATATCCATGGTCTTTCAACAACACCCTGATTTCTCACCTGAGAAATTCTCAATGGTATTTCTGCCTGGAAGAAGAAATATATAGCTTTATATAGAGAGACTATAGCATGCTAAATATTTAACTGGTTAATACTGAAAAAATTCACAACCTGTATAACAATATGTGCTCAGCTATGCTCTGTGATGAAGGGTAACCGCTCCAGATGTACATCTCACTTGTACAACAGCTGACACTTAAGGTAAGCAATTGGTACACCTAGAAAACATCTCAGAATTCATGGCAGCTTACCAAAATATCCACCTGACTTATGTGCACACTATTCCTAAAGAAAAGTAATACATCCACTCTTCAGCAAGTCTCCTAACTACGAGGCTACCTTGCCTAGGGACAGAAGTTTTTTTTTCCCTCTCTTCCCTCTTGTGGTAAGCATCTGAAAGCACTAGTCACAGACTTTCAAGAAGTGTATGCAATGATTACTTCTCATCAGCTCTGTTCTAAGCTTATGTATACAATAACAGCTTTATGGAGCTGAAATATCCTAAATTTTCTACTGTCATACTGCTCTGAACTCATTATTCCTCGCTGATCATGTGTAGAAGTCAGAAATACCTTTTAGTTATGTGTTTTCTACACATAGATTTTTAAAATCATTTTTGGTTCTTCTTCTGTACTTTCAATAGCTTACAACACTTTCTCTACATTTGGATTTTTAACCACTTCCTTAATGATAAAGTACAGAAAGGGACAAAATTATCCCTTGCTGTGCATTTTCCCTTTTCAGACCTAATTCCTATCAAGGGAGACTGCTATGACTTCACCTAGATACTGTCGCCTGTGAGGGGAAAAAGAAAACAAAACTAACTGGTTAAAAAGAAAGTTAAAATCCATGATGTGGAGGAAAGCATCTTTTCCTAAGAAAATTCACGAGCAATCATTAAAAAACAAATAACAAAAAGGGCTGACTTCTTTCTCAGAAGCTATGAAAGCAAAAGCAAACTCTGTGGTGTAGAGTTCCCACTGCCACAAGAGTTGATTTTATCACCACTAAGTTTTAAGCAATTGATCTTGATTTTTGCTTATACAGCAGGAATCAATTCTGCAGTTGGAGAGGGCACTGCTGAGGATGGCAGTACCAACATCTAAAACTGTTCCTACAGCTTGTCAAAAAATCACTTTAATGCTTCAGAATAATAATGTTTGCAAAAGTAAGTAATTGTTGAGGCTTAATGGAGACAAAAGTGAGGTGCTTCAGGAAGACCTTTTGTTCAGCCTCATTATTAACATTCCAGGCTTTTAGCAAGTTAGAAGTTTCTATAATTATTTTTCTTTGAACAACCTAAGAGCATAAACATTTTAAAATAAGCAATACATTTACAAGCATTTTCTCCATGACAGCATTAATATTTTAACCTTAAATATTTCAATCTGAAGGAAACAAAGAAGACCCCCTACAGCTTTGACAACAAAGAATCTTAAATCATCTCTCCTTGCTATTTTATCATTGATCAATAGACCTAAATGCCATGCCATCAAACTGCAAGATTTGACTGCAAAAGCTGTCTTAGCTGGAGGAGCTTCTCTCAAGTTTTATGCTCCTAAAAATGGCACAGTAGAGGAAATCCTAACCCTACGTACATCAGCCTTTGTCAGATGAACAGAGATCCTGAATGAGGGTTGCTTTGGCGTTCTTTGTCTATCACCTATGACTAGAATAACAGTTTGCTTTGAGGTAAAGAGAAGAAATCTCCTTGAACTTCTTTTTCTGTTAATTATGAAATCAGCTATTGACTTATCTATCCTGATCTGCAGTATAATTCAACTGCAGTCTCCTATGCTGATTGATAGTTATTTATCCTATTATATTCTACAAACAAACCTCCTGGGTTCCAAATCCAATTATCACTGAACCTAAGTGGAGGGAAAAAAAAGGGGGAAGAGGGTAAAGAGGGTTTATCTCAACATTTCTTTATAGAGAAGTTCAAAGATACAATTCTGTAAACCCAAAGAACTGCTATATGTAAGAGTGCTTCACCACTGATTCGCCTGTTTATCAGACAGAAGATGACAGAGCTGCTGAAGAATGGCCATTTTCACAAACTTAGCCCAAAGACATGAGTGAAAATAACAGACAGGAAAATACAAGTGGAAATTGCAAGGATTATTGCAGGTTGTCCTCTTCTAGTTCATATTTCTGTTTGAGTTATCATTACAGCCCAGCTCAAAAAAAAGATCTGATTTTTAAGAGCACTAAATATGCTTAGGAAAATGCCTCATTTTATTATGATAAAGTTAATCATATATGTACGCGTATGCAAAACTGCAATCTAGTTGATAATATATACTATCTATTCTGATAGTTTTCCTTATGAAAATCATTTAACTTGTCAGTCTCCTCACTGGATAAACAGTAGATAAAAACAATAATTTTATTTGTCAAAGTCTGCCATTTTGATTCATATTCTTCCCAGTAATGTTGCCTATCGTAAATAATTTAAAAGCTCATATATATTCCAGAAAAAGATATAAACACTGGTAATAAGACACAAAAAAGAAACACTGTAAGTCATATTCTAAACTGTATTTAAGAAGCAAGGCAATATTATCAAAGGGAGCAGACTTCACATAGTTTAGGCAGAAGAACTAGGACACAAAAAATGGAGAGCAGCAAATCACAGCTTTTCCAGCTAGCAAGAAAACATTTTGCTACTTTCAGAACGTCCTGCACATGATGGAAAAGCCCTATCAAGTGTCCCAAGGGGGCTTACAGTTTTGCTTCAAACTGCTGCCAATAAATAAATAAGGTCCAATGTCCTTTACCATTTATGCATCTGTGAGTATACTGGCAGGGCTGAAATGGCAGTGAATAAGCCATTTCTTCTACTGTTCTTTACAGGAAGACAGAACTTCAGTCAAACAGTTTACAAGGATTTAGAAGAATTCTTCCAAATCTAAAAATATCTTTAAACACAACCTGATCAATTTAGAAAAATCACCTATAAGGCATCAAATGTCTGCAGTTAAAAGCCTTAATCATCTTCAGTAAGAGATTTTCATTCCTAGATAAAATGAATAGCTTGTCCTCAGACCTACCAGCTGAGCTACATAATACATAATAGATTTCCTTTTATACTGTTTTTCTATCTTGACTCTTAAATCTTCTAAACAGGAAAGTTCCTTTTGATATGCATGATGGATGTTTGGACAAAGCTCAGCAGGTTGCTGTCCATTAAATTTTGCATTTTTTATTTCTGCGACAGTACAGTTGTAAGGACAGTATACAAAGCAAACTTGAGTGCAGGCATCATTTTACACTCGTACTCAGCTCCTACTCTTATTATTCTTCCCTCACTATAACATTCCGTAACTGTTTTGCTCCTCTGCAGCATATCTGTGAGATTATTCATAGCATTTTCATTTAAATTCTTCCCAGATAAGAACAGTGAATCATAATTTGAGAGATTCTTTCATTAATTTGCTTTAAATTAATGTTTTATGTAAATGACTCAGAAAAAGGAATATTATCCAAAATTATATTACACTCTTTGAAAAAGAATTATTATCAATTTTCTTTCAAGAATATTACTTACTGCAAAGTTGTCTTCTTTGAAGATACAGAAACTATTTATCTGTTTTTTGCTTGTAGGGATAATTAATTCAGTTGTTTAGAAAAAGCTTTTCACATGTGTAAGAAGGGTATTCAATTCTTTGTTGTTTTTCCATTTTGATTATATTAAATAAGTTTTTTCCCTCACATTATGATACCTAACTTTATTTCCAGAACCAGTGTATTTG